AACATACTCCTAGGCATAGGGCTAATTCATCTGACCTTTCTTATCTCTGAATAGCAGCCTAGCAGTGTAGTAGGCATAATTGTTTGACGGCATCTCTTCCTCACCATTTCTTTTCACCCCTTGAAGGATCACCCATGGAGACCTACTTTTTCCTCTCTTTCTCATCTCAGTTAATTACACTCTAGGCCATCTCTTCCTCACAAGTACAGACATCCTCCTTAATACCCTTCTTCTTAAATCTCTTCCAACTTTTGCTAAAATAGCTGGAAAAAATTTCCCTCTTTCCTTCTCTCTCTTTCTACCTCTTCTTCCTCTTCCTGTCCAGGCTGCCTCTCCACTAATAATGTCTAATAAACCTTAATCTACTAATAATATACCTGCATCTAAGGTGCTATCAGTTGAGGAGTAGCTGAACAAACTGTGGTATATTAATCTAATGGAATACTAGTATATTCTAAGAAATTATAAAAGGGACAGTATAAGAAACCTGGGAAGATTTGTACAAATTGATGCAGAATGAAGTGACCAGAACTGATGCTGTTGTTATTATATAAATGAGAACAATTTACTCTTCTATAATATTATTCTGTTGTCTACAATAAATTGTTTTCATTTATACAATAACAACAGCATTGTAAAACAAACAACTCTGAAAGGCTTAAGTATTCTGATTACAATGATCAACCATGATTCCAGAAGACTGATGATGAAACATGTTACTCACCTCCTGACAGAGAGATGAAGGACTCAGGGTACAGATTGAAACATGTATTTTTTGGACATGACCGACGCGGGAATTGGTTTTGCTTGACTATGCCTGTTTGTTACAAGAGTTTTGTCTTTCTTTATTTTTTAATTTGGGTGAAGGAAGAGAAAACATTTTTGTTCATTGAAAAAATAAAATTTAATGTGTGTATATGTATATACATATATATACACACACATATATGTATATTGTTGTGTAGGAAGAGGCAGCTGGGTGGCTCAGAGGACAGAGTGCTAAGCCTAGAGTTCAGATCTGACCTCAGACTATAGTTGTGTGACCCTCAGCAGGCCACTTAACCCTCTTTGCCTCAGTTTCCTCATCTGTAAAATGAGCTGGAGAAGGAAGTGACAAAACCATTCAAGTATCTTTGCCAAGAAAACACCAAATGGGGTCACAAGGATCAGACAAGACTGAACAATAACTTATCAAGGAAAGATCATTCATTTTACAGTGTAGTATAGAACCAGTGCCATCAAACTTGAAACCCTTGAAAATAGTGTGCCCTTCTTACTTACCGCTAAGGTTTCATCTACCCTTCACCTTCTAATTACATTTGCTTTTCCTCAAGTACCACCATTAAAGACAGATTTAAAAAATGTTTCTTCATGTAGCCATCTTGTGTGCCATTATATATATGCAAGAGACTCCTAATTGGTAGAAAGAATACTGTCATAATGTAGTGTGTCTTTGTGAGAGCTAGAGTTGGTGAAAGAGCATTTGGGAGGAGATACATTATTCCAGGGAGTTCCTGGAAGGAGATACATTACTCCATAGTTCCAAACATTCAGGGAAGAAGAGAAAGAAGGACTTTGGACACTGCAGACGAGGAAAGAAAGCTAGCTGGCTCCTCAACATTTCCCCAGTTTCCAGTTTGTTTCTCCAGAAACTTTAGAGAGAGAATTTCTCCTTGGGTGAGACTGGAGTCTTTCTCTTTTTATTTGAGCTGAGATGTTGTTTCCATTCGAAAAACTTGTTCACTTTTGTTTGTTGTTCTGGCTTATTCCAAGCTACATAACTTCTTTGGTTTCTATTTGCTGTTTTGCTTGGATAAATGAGTTTACTCACAATTCACTTTGTGATGGTCTTTTGTATAACCAAAGGGAGAAGAGGAGCCAAGCTGGCAGGTATAAGCTTGGCACTACCCTCCTTTCTTGAGGGATAGTGCGAGGGAATTAGCTTTTATTTTGAACCTATTGTATGTATCCTTAGATCGGCAAAAATTTAAGGGGGCAGATAGACATAATTCCAGTCCAATACCCCTCTCAGATACTAAAGAACACCCAGCCTTGTGGCCCTTCTCTTGCTCCCCTCAAGGCAATAATTACAGTCTTTCTTAGAGAGAGGTGAACAAGATTCTAGAGATATATCTCAATACCTCAAGAGATGCATTTTACCAACCCATGTTGACACACATATCTTACACAGGAACATGCAATCTTGCATTCAGTTTTATTATTTTTATTTGTTTTATTATTATTCAAGTGACATTGTTTTCTACTTTTCTTTTTCATTTCAAATATACTATAGAGCAGCTGTATTATGCATTAGATATGTTTTTGTGGGCTAGCCTGGATCTATTTCAACCAGGCAGCAAGGCTTACTGCACTGCAAGTCTGGAAGGCCAGGGTTCAAGTTCTACCTCTAAAACATACTAGACATCCTAGGTGAGACACTTAACCTCTGGATCCTGACAACTCTCAAAAAATTCTAAGTTGCAAAGAAGGTGCTCACTTGCATTTCTAGAGGGAGTTTCTTCACATGGGAGTTTCTTAAAGGAATGACATCATGAGTCACAATAAACATTTAATTAATTATGTGCCAGGTGCTGTGCTAAGTGCTAGGGATACAAATAAAGGCAAAAGACAGTCCCTGCCCTCAAGAAGATTACAGTATAACAGGGAAAACAATACACAATTATATACAAGCAAGTTATAAACAGGATAAATTAGAAATAATCAACAGAAGGAAAGCACTAAGACTATTGATTGGGGAAGGATTCTTATGAAGGTGAGACTTTAGCTGAGACTTGAAGGAATCCAAGGAAGCGAGGAAGTAGATGAGGAGGGAAAGCATTCTAGGTATTCTAGGCATTCTAGGCATTCTAGGCATGGGGGACAGCTAATGAAAATGCTCATTGTCATATGCCAAGAACAGCAAGGAGGCCAGTGTTACTAGATTGCAGAGTACATGGGGGATATAAGAAGACTGGAAAGGGAGGGAGGGACCAAGTTAAGAAGAACTTTGAATGCCAAAACAGAGGGTTTTTTATTTGAACCTGAAGATGATAGGAGGCCAGTGGAGTTTATGGATCAGTGGGATGACATGGTCAGACTTGAGTTTTAGGAAGATCACTTTGATAGCTGACTGGAGGATGAGACTTGAGGCAGGCAGACCCACCAGCAGGCTATTGTAGTAGTCCAGGTATGAGGTGATTAGGGCCTGTACTAAGGTGGTGACAATGTCAGGGGAGACAAGGGGGCATATTGGATAGATATGGCAAAGGTGAAATCGACAGGCCTTGTCAACAGATTGGATATGAGGGGTTGAGAATGAGGTAGTCAGGATGACACCTAGATTGTGAGCCTGGATCCCTGAGAGGATAGTGATGCCCTAAACAGTAATAAGGAAATTTGAAAGAGAGGACGGTTTGGGGGGAAAAGGTAATGAATTCAGCTTTAGGTATGTTGAGTTTAAAATATCTACAGGACCTACAGTCCAAGATGTCCGATAGGCATTTGGAGATGTAAGACTGGAGAGCTGAGTTTAGTGTTGGATAAACAGATTTCAAATTCATCAATAGAGAGATGATCATTGAATCCTTGGGAGCTGATAAGATTCCAAAGGGGGAGAAAGAGAAAAGGGCCGTGGGCAGAGCCCTGTAGGACATTTAAAGTTTTGTAGGTGAGGTCTGGATGAAGATTCAGCAAGGGAGACTAAACAGATAGGAAGAGAACCAGGAGAGAGTCCCAGTCTAAGTCCCCTTTCTGTTACAAATATCATCACAAATAACATCATTCATGTTATAGAAGTGTGTTTTGAATTCCAAGCAAACAACTACAAAAGTGAACTTTGAGGGCAGTTAGGTGGTACAGTAGATAGAGCACCGGCCCCAGAGTCAGGAGGACCTGAGTTCAAATCTGGCCTTAGACACGTAACACTCGCTAGCTGTGTGACTCTAGGCAAGTAACTTAATCCCAATTGCCTCACCCCCCAAAAAAAAATTAAGAAAAAAACCTTGAACTTTGGGAACACCACAGTGTAAATTAAGGATTGCATTTTCCACCTGTTACTACTTTTTGTAGTAGTAGTAGTAATTCTCCATTAATCTTGAATGGCCCTAACAGACCTTTTATTTCTTTGCATGGCTTATTTAAGAAAACCTTAACTATATTTGCTATTCTCTGGAATTCTGCATTCACTTGGATATAACTTTCCCTTTCTCCTTTCCCTTTCCCTTTCCCTTTCCTTTTTTCTTCAGCTATTTGTAAAGCTTCATCAGACAGCCATTTTGTTTTCTTGCTCTTCTTTTTCCTTAGGATGTTTTTGTTGCTGCCTCCTGTACAATACTGAAAAGCTCTGTCCATAGTTCTTTAGGCTCTCTGTCTACCAGATCTAGTCCTTTAATATTCATCACTTCTGTTTCATATTTATAATGAGTGTTATTTAGGTCCTACCTATAGAGTCTGATGTTTTTCCCTACTTTCTTCAATTTAAGTCTGAATTTTGCACTAAGAAGTTCATGATCTGAGCCACCATCAGTTCCAGGTCTCATTTGAACTGACTGTATAGAGCTTCTCCACCTTTGACTGCAAAATATATAATCTGATTTCGATATTGACTATCTGGTGATGTTCATGTGTAGAGTCACCTTTTGGGTTGTTGAAAAAGAGTGTTTGCTATGACCAGCAAGTTATCTTGGCAGCACTATTAGTCTCTGCCCTACTTCATTTTGTACTCCAAGGCCAAACTTGCCTGTTATTCCAATTATAGAGTTCCTTGGACAGCAAGGAGATCAAAGCAATCAGTACTTAAAGAAATTGACTGTTCCTTGGAAGGATAAATACTGAAGCTGAAGCTTAAATACTTTGGCCCCATAATAAGAGGACAGGACTCACTGGAAAAAACTCTTATGCTGGGAAACATTGAAGGCAAAAGAAGAAGGGGACAGCAGAGGATGAAGTGGACAGATAGTGTCATGGAAGCAATGAACATGAGATTTGACAGACTTTAGGAGACAGTGGAGGACAGAAGAGCCTGGCATGCTGTGGTCCATGGGGTCACAGAGTGAGAAGTGACTGAACGACTGAATGACAGCAATTGACACTCACTGGATGACCTGGGGTTTTTGAAGATTATTCCACAGGAGCACAAACTCTGAAGTGTCCCATTAAGTTGTAAAGTTTTAAAGTTATAGGCTCTGTAACAGACAACGTTAGCTGGTCCATGAGCTACCAGCCTGCTAAATTGGGAGAACCTCCGAACCAACATTGGCCACCAAGGAATGCATCTTTTCCTACCAGGGGAACTTATTGGGGAGAGATTCCAATCTTTTATTGTGGGTGAGTATGTGCTGATGAAATCATTGATATTTAGAAATATTATAGCATTACAGTAAACACTAACGCTTAACAGACGAATAGTAAACACTAAAAGCCGACTGTGCATTGCATTGTTTATTCATAATTCTCCAACAAAATCCTAGTAAGAATTTTTAATGAAATAAGATCTGAGCTACATGTGAAAAGTCAGTTGATTACTTCTTTGACAGTTATGCCTCAATCTCAGTTTCTCCAGAAGTATTTAAGGCTGATATATTAAGATATCTGCAGAATAGATATTGTACAAAAGCAAAGATCTGCTAGGTTTACTTTAACAATAACATTTAAAGATAAAAACCTTTTTCTTTACTCAGCCAAGCTTTCTTTTGGCATTTGACCAACATATTTGTTAAGCTGTAATGCAGGATTCTGGAACACTCTGTATCTGCCCTTAGCGTGAGGACATTGAACTGTTAAGTAGTCTTGGGCTAGGTATAAAGATAATCTTGGAGACCAGGAGGTCTGTTACCTAGAATGTTGATGAACCTTTTGCAAGACCATCTTATTCTCAATGAAAAGTCTTTTAACTGTGAAATCAGATCGACCTTCTAAAGTTTTAGAAGGTGAACAGACTTTTAATTCTCTGTTATTTTTGAAAACCTTGGTTGTGAGAACTACTACTAGTGCTTATCTTCATAACTGGCTCAAGAAATTGGGTTTATTTGGCTTGGAGCAAGTGGTGGAAGTGGAAATAAGGAGAGAAGCTGAGGGGAGAGTCAAGCTTTGAGGTCTACAAGGTCTGAGTAAGGAAGAGCATGTACTTAGTTTCCACTGAGAAAAGGGCAACAAGGAATGCAATTTAGTTGCAAAAGACAAAGGCTTTGTTCTTAAACCCAAGGCAAAGTCTAATGACCATTTATGGGCACAAGATTAACTTCAATAGGAGTGATTCTTGGCCAGGCACCCATGACCTGTACTCCCTTCCTTTTCCATATTATTGGTGCTTTCTGACTTGCTCTGCCCTACTTAGACTAGTAACAAAAGATTTAGGTTATATGTTAAGATAAATATTTAAACACATGTTAGGATAAATATTTAAACATGCTACCAAGAAGAGCTGTGGAATTTCATCTGTAGAATTTTTTTTTAAGCATGGCAAAGGCAGCTGGAATAACTAGACTATGAAGAATTAGGTGACAATTTGAGGTCCTCTCAAGTTTTATAATTCCACAATCATTGTCAGCAGGCACTAACAACTGTTTGTTTTCCACTTAAATAACCTGCATAGTTTTTCATTGTTTCTAGCCACTTCTCCCCATCTCCAATCATCATCATCAACAACAACAAGCTACAGGTAAAGAAAAGCGTCTTCTTTTGGAATTTACATGTGTTATTTGGGCCCTTTGGTAAATAGCTTTATGATCCAGCATATCCAAAATCTGCTTGTTTTCAAATCATCTACCTATTTTTTTTAATAGAATATGAGTTTATTTATGAGATTTTAATAATCAAAACCAGAAACAAGTAAAATAACATTGTTGGAGTAACATGGCATAATAAAATGTTTTTAAGAGATTTGTGACTGTTGCCATTAGTACTTCTTTACTTATGAAATACATAAGTCAAACTCTATCATTCTACATGTTACAAAAGGCAAACTGAGTATCAGTCATCGTGACCTGTCTGGAAGTCTGTTTCCCACCCCACTTGTCTAAAACATTATCAACAATTCCTTGAAGAAGACTAATGTTAGTGAAGCTGTTTTGCAAGATTTCTCCCCCATACTCACATCTCCAAAATGGCATCAGGTATTGCAGGGATCAAGAGAAGAATTTCTTTTGACCAAGTCTAGGGTTAATGTTGTCTAGAAGGGTTAGGTAGGTATACAAGGAGATAAAATCTCATTTGATGTCCTGAAAGCAGATTATAGTCAGAACAAGTCTATGAAAGAAATTTGAAAACTATAAAATATTTTACAATGTAAATGATGAAAAAAATCATCTCCTATTATTTTTTTAAAAAAATAATGTGGCATTAAAATGCTAATAAGCCAATGTCTGTCATCAACCAAAATGGTGAAGCACTAGGTAAAGGATGTCCCTTAATAGGACTTAGTTGGGAAGGAAATTGTGGTTATAAGTCCATTGGGATAATTGACAAGCAGATACCCTTTCTTTGGGCATTGCTTGTTATGCATCCTTCCCAACAGATGCATAGGAATAGTACTTATCTTTTAAACTAAAACATTATCATTATTATTATTCCTCTTGATTTTAGCAGTAGCTACATAATATTTAAATAACTAATCAAATAGTCCAGTTCAGTGAAAACAAGCCAATTTGATGAAACAACAAAGTCCAAAGTAATGAACTAAATTTGCTAGTTGTTTGACTGAATCAATCAGAACCCTCTATGGGACCACTGGGTCAGAATGAATGTATAGACACAAGTGCTAAAGTATTTGTTAGAAAGTGAACATGTAGACCATTCTTCATCAAGAAGGCATACCTTACTATACTAATCCAAAACTTTTTTAACTTTAAATTTTAGAGAAAGGGGAAAGGAAAAAAAAACTCCCATACATGCTAGGAAAAACAAAACATTTGTTCAAAATATTTTGATATAAAAAATTTATTGCACCCATAATATATGCTTTTTCCCTCTTTTTTTCCCCTTAGCAGTGTGTTCCCTTCTCTGAAGCTAACTTGTTTCAAAATCCCTTAAGGGAGAAGGGGAGGGAAGGGGGATGGGGAGAGAGGTACTTACTAATTTTTTGGGTTTTTACAAATAATCTTGAGATTTTCCCCTAACAGCTAATTCTGAAAGTCACATCATCCAGAGATCATTTGGTGCACTGTTGGGAAAGGCAGATGAACTGTGACATAAATGGATGAACCTGCTGCAAAGATAGAACCCTTTCTGATATCTTCTTAAAGCACAGATTCAAACTTTTAGTGTTAGATGCATGTCTTGGAGTCCCATGATCTCATCTACCCAAAATAGATAAACTTCTCCAAGTTAACACTTACAGCTTAGTGACAAGGCTTACTCATGGGAGAAAAACATAAATGAAAGTAGTGTGAATAAAAGTGCACTAAATAAAAGGAGTCACTACTGACTCAAATTCTTCATAGGCTCTCAGTTCAATGAACAAGAGCCCATCTAAATGAGAAATTAGGCCCAATGAACGTTTTCTTTTCTCCTGGTTCCTGCTTGAGATGATTTCCTCTGACCTCTTTCTCTTGCAAGTTTTGTAAAGTTCTTGTCATTTTGTTTCACCTATTTACTCCATCCGAATGCCACTGATGCTTCTTTGTTTTTAAACATCAATGTATTTTACCCTGCTTCTCTCTAAACACTCAGTGTTAGCAAAAGGGTCAAGAATTTTGTTTTGTTTTATTTTTGTGGCTGCTCACAACCAACTGCCCAGTGCCAACTGTTTCTAGCTGTCATAGAATACTCTAAAATCCAACATTCTCTGGCCATTCACTGTGGGGAATCTGTATTGTGGTTTAGGCTTTCCAGAAGAAGCACACTGAGGGCCAAGATTCTCTCTTACCCTTTTTCTCTCGGGGCCTAGCACAGTACCATGTATTGTTCCTTAAAGGCTAGTTAGACTGAATGGAGGAGATTGATATGTGTCCTGTAAAACTCATTTACTTGCTGCTTGACTGGCCAGAGGTAAAGAGGGAGTGTTACCCTCAGTGTGCAGACTTGTGAGGCTCCAAAATTTCCCATCCTCTTCCACTCAGCTTTTTGTCTCAAGCATCCGGGAAGGGATCTATTCCTTTTTAAGATAATAATAAGATTTATTCCAGTCCCCACATTTTTTACATTAAAAACCAGAAGGCTAGAGAGGTTAAAGCAGCTTCCCAGAGGTCAGAGAGGTTGTAAATAGAGGTCAGACTCATAGATCCTTTTATTCCCGATTCAGTGATATTTCTACCACAACTCGCTGCTGCTACCAACCCTCAAGATAATTTGTAAGAGAAATCTCTCCACCCCCGAGCTTGTTCTTGGTATTTTGCCTTTCCATAGGTTTCTCCTAAGAACTCAGTATTTTACAATCCTGGATTGTAAAATAAATCTCTATTTATCAATCAATCAATCAATTAATCAATCAACAAGCATTTATGAAAGTTCTACTAAATGTCAGGCACGGTGTATGAAAGTAAGCCAGTCCCTGCCCTGAAGGAACTTGTATTGTCCTTGAATTACCTTGCAAACACCTGTAATAACTGTTTTGCCACAATTTATTTATATTACAGCAAAAGAAAAAATCACTGCACTCAAAAATCCAGAAAATCCCCATCACTTTTCTCTAGAAGTTTTTAACTTGTTGGAGTAAAGATTAATCAAGTATGACATTTAAAACTGTCAAGAAAAGCAAATTTTGGAGAGTAGTGGTACGCAGACACCTTTGGAACAGTGGAACAGATCACAGAATTTGGAGACAGAAGACCTGGGCTAGAATCCGGGCTCTGATATCATCTATGTGACTTTGGACAAATCCCTTACCTTTTCGGGCCTCAGTTTCCTCATTTATAAAATGAGGGGATGGAACTTAATGGCTTCTCAGGTTTTTGCCAGCTTTAAATCTCTGATCTCCAGTACTCTGATTTTATTCTAGATCTTTTTATTAAAGCTAACCATAATTATGTTTCAACTGTCTCGTTTTTTCCTACTGAATAAGTTGATGCTGTTGGCACAGAATGTGAACTGTGACCTCATATTCACAAACACTTAGCAGTTTTATAATCTTTCTTTCCAAAGCTTTAAAGCCTTGATAGGCTTGTACACAGATACAAGGAAATAACAAACTATACAGTGAACTCTGTTAACCACTTGATAGCCTAGAAGATATGTAGATAATCCAAAATTAGATATAAGCCAAAAATATTTTATGGAGCATTTGACTTTGGAATGTGTTTTTGTATTTTCATTTGAACTTTATTGCATGTGATATTCTGCGAATCCACGGCAGTCCAAAAAGTTATCTAGAATCTTCTTCTTGATCTCTGCTTAATTCCTACTTGAAAGTGACTCAGTGGATAGAAGGCCAAGCTTGGAGTCAGAAAGACCAACGTTCAATCCTCCCTGGACATTTAGGAGCCCTGTGACCCTACACAAATGCCTTAAACTCTCTCAGCCTCCATTTTCTCAAGTGTATAATGAATGAGGAGATTGGACTCCATGCCCTCTGAGGGCCCTTCATGCCCCAAATTATAATCCTAAGATCCTATCCACAATAAGGACTGACAGCTCTCTCTCTCAGCTGACTTTTCAGAGCCAGGTGAAGCCAGAACTAATCTCTCCAAAATTTTTCATAGAGTGAGGACTGGCTGCTTCTTTGAGTTTCAAATAGCTGCCCTGCTGTCTTCAAAATAACAAAAGAGCTGGTAGTTAAGTGGAGAAGGTACTAACTGCCAGTAGAAGAGATTCTAACTCCCAAGATATGGCAACGCCTTCTTCCAACAATGTAAGTAATAGCAATGATGCATGAGAATTAGCTCTATACTCATTTTATGTCAGAAAATTGAAAGAAGATTTAGCTCACTATCAAGCACAAATGCAGGAGCAACTCTGAGAAATGAGAAGGAATGTGGTAGGTCCAAAATGGTAGCCATAGTAATACCATTAACTCACAAACATGGTTCCAGCCCAGTAGAAACACCAATTTCAATAGTGTGACCCTTTCATGATATTCACTGTTCACTAATAGAGACCTTGCCACAGAGTGCTTCAAAGTTGCTAAGGTGTTCTACATATGTAACCCCTGATACATAGACATTCTCTCATTAAAGTCCTCTTGTACTAAAAGGTTCATTCCCCACCCCCTGCAAATTCACTCATTCATTCATCCATCCATCCATCCATTCACTCATTTATTTATTTATTTGTTTGTCTGTTGGCTAGCGATGGGGTTAAGTGACTTGCCCAGGGTCACACATCTAGTAAGTATTGTGTGTCTGAGGCCAGATTTGAACTCAGGTCCTCTTGACTCCCGGGCTGGTGCTCTATCTACTGTGCCATCTAGCTGCCACCCATCCCCATCCTCCCCACACCCCCCTGGATAAGTTATTCTTGGTTGCAAACTGTATCTTTGTCTTTTAGAATAGCATATTCTAAAATCTCCTTTGGTATATAGTAGAACTGTTAGGTCTTGTATGGTCCAAATAGTGTTTTTTTTGGTACTTGGAGCTGCTTCTTTCTTAATGCTCACTGATACATATACGTGTGTGTGTATTGCTGATATAAATATATAAATATATATATGTATATATATATTTCTGATATACATGTATGTGTATACACATACACACACACACACACCCCTTTGGATTTTGCCTATGATATTCCAGGGACTTTTCTTTTAGGAATACCTTTCAGGAAGTAATTAGTTGATTCCTTCTATCTTTACTTTCCCCTCTGATTATAATAGATTCAATTAACTTTAATTTATAATTTCTTGAAATGAAGTACCCAAGCTTTTTAAAAATTATGCGTTTTTAAGGAGCCCAATGGTTTTTTTTTAAATTTTATTAATTTATTTTGATTTATCAACAATCACTTTCACATGCTTTTGAGTTGAAATTTTTTCTCCCCCTTCCTCCACCCCACCTTCCCCAAGAGGGCGCACAGTCTGATATAGGCTTTACATTTACATTCCTATTAAACATATTTTCACATTAGTGAAGTTGTAAGTAAAAATTAAAACCAATAGGAGGAACCATCAGAAAGATGAAACAAAACTCAACCCAAGGTAAAAATAACTGATAGCGATTCGACTTCCATGGTTCTTTCTTTGGATGTGGACAGCATTTTCCATCCTGAGGCCTCTGGAGATGTCTTAGATCCTTGTATTGCTGAGAAGGGTTCAGTTTAACAATATTAGTCATTGTATAACATAGCTGTTATTGTGTACAAAGTCCTCTTGGTTCTGCTCACTTCACTCAGCATCAGACCATGTAAGTCTTTCCAGGTTTTTCTGAAATCAGCCTGTTCATCATTTCTTCTAGCACAATAGTATTCCATTACATTCATATGCCACAACTTGTTCAGCCATTTCCCAATTGATGGGCATCCTCTCAATTTCCAGTTCTTTGCCACCACAAAAAGAGCTTCTATGAATATTTTTGTACATGTAGGTCCTTTTCCCCCAATGGGTTTTTTTTTAAATTAAAATTTATTTTGTTCAATGATCAGGCATTTATTTTTTTTTCTCCCTTCCATCTCCCTCATTCTCACTGGGGAAGTGGGGAGGTGGAAAACAATAACATTTCATTGGTGTCCTCGTGGCATCCTTGCATCAGCTGATAACAATATTCATATTGAGAACCAAGGATAGACTGAACATGATTCCATCGCTCCACAAAGAGCCTGGCAAAAGAACTGCATTATGCCTAGGAGAATTTCTTCAGCTTTCCTTGTGAATGGAGCAAAAGGACTTCTAGCAACCAGGAGCTCTGAGATACTCCTTTGCCACATGTGCTAAGTGTGAGCCCACTTTCTCCTACACTGTGTATTTGTGGGAGAGTGTGTTGCAGATTTTTGATGGGATGTTTTGTATCAAATATTCTTACTGTACTTTCTTCGTAAGTACTTCAGTCTAAACACTACTTAAGACTAGTCGACTAAATGATTCTCAGCTGATAAAATTGAGGGGAGGCACATTGATAGGGGCTTATGCTGAATCACTCTCAACTTCAAAGGAGTATCCCTAGATCCCTGAGAGGGAAATATATACTCTAGACCTGAGACTCCTTTATGAGAGTGGTAGTTTGGGATAAGGATATCCTGGAGCTTACCTGGGCTACAGTACCTTATATAATAGCAAAGTTATAATAGTCTATTTCTGCTTTGCCAAAGGCCAGCATCGGGGTCTGAGATCTGCTTGAATTCTAAACCATTAGAACAGATCTAGTAGTAAACTGGAGATGTTTGTTGATCAGATACACCACCTAAGACTCCTCTGGTTCTCAGAATCTATTCCTTTCAATTGTCAATATTTTTAGTCACATAGGTGTCTTTCAAATTAGCCTCAAAAAGTAAGCAGCTTTCCATGACACCTATATCCTATACTGTTTGAAGATAAATGAGTTTATAAAAGAACGTATCGAATTTGTTTGTCAGAACTCTAAAGGCAATCTCAGTTAATGTGAACTGAAATGACAGCCTCAGGCAGTAGTTAATGATTTGTAATTAGGTTTTAAAAGGACATAATTGTAGATATCACTTTGGGGTGGGTTTTTTGTTTGCTTTATTTGGTTGGCTGGTTTGTGCTCTTTTTTTTTAATTGGATCTGTGGTTGAAAAAAAAAAAGATTAAATGCCAGTTTGATGGACAGACCTCAGCTAATCTCACACAAATGATATTTAGATTTTGAGCATATCACCATTGAAAATAAAGATAAATACAGTTAAAGTCCCAACATGTCAGCAGATCCTAGATCTATTATGACATAGACAAAATGGGGAGGGGGTGTTTTATTTTTAAAATCTTAATTTATACCACCAAAAAAGAGTACGTCCATGCATATAGTAGTAGCTGGTAGTAGTAACAGCATACATTTTATAGCACCTACTATGTGCCAGGCACTGTGCTAAGTGCTTTACAATTTTTATCTCATTTGATTCTCACAACAGGTCTGGGAAGCAGGTGCTATTATTATCCCCAGTTTACAGATGAGAAAACTGAGGCAGACAGACGTTGTCTTATAGCTTGTGTTATAGGGCACTTGTCATATAGCTAGTATCTGAGGCTGACTTTGAACTCAGGCCTTCCTCACTCCGGGCCCAACACTCTAGCCATTGTGCCACCTTACTGAAAAACAAAAAAAGAAAATAGGACAGGAAACCTTGGATGTCTTTGACACTGCTTGTTTTTATGAAATGTATTTTTATAGTGCCCTACCTCCCTTTTCTATACCTCTCTCCCACTTCTTAGCTCCCTTACCTCCCTTCAGATGAGAGAAATTATAAATGAGTTCTTAAGTGTTCCAAAATTATCCTCCCCTCCCTTTTTCCTGCCCCTCCCCTAGGATATATCCCTTAAGTGAGATGGTCTCAGCTTGGAAGAAAAAACATAATTAAACTAATTCACAGTAGATTGATAATGACTGACAGTTTAATGTGTAAACCTTTCCAGGGTATTTGAATTTTAAAAGAGGAGCTTGTTAACTGAGAGGAACACCTTTAGTGGTTTAATATCAGATGTGATGACAGGCTTATGGGGGACAGATTTTAAGTAAAAGGAAAGGCTTCCTAGTTCCCCTCAAATTAGACCACATAGGTCACTGGCTACTCTGCTACCAATAAGGATAACTTGGTATTTCAAGTTTTATATATGTAAGTCTGCCCTTAACAGTTGGTCTATATCTACTCTAGCACCCCATACCTCTCACACAGAGTATAAAGTCACCTACTTTCTGGGATAACTTGTTCATGCCAACCTGCACCTTGCAATTACACTCAAATTCATCTATTATTGGGAGAATACATTCTCTTACTCACTACTATAGCTCTTGAGCTCCCCTTAATATGTTTCCATTTACACTAAACCAGCTATAATAATGACACTTTCAGATTTCAAACATAACCATTTAACAATTAGGCA